ACCAATATACAGACTCATCAGCAGATATGAGACTATCTTTCCCTATATTCTCACCAAGATAGTTTCTTAAAATATTTTTAAAAAATTTTTTCTAATCAAATGTCTCTTCTTAGATACATTTTTTACTGTGAATATCTGTTCATACATTTTTCCTTTTTTATATTAGAGTTTAAAAAATTGACCTGAGGACGGTCCTTATATATCAGGGAAACTAACCCTTTGCAAATATTTTTTCTCTATTTGCCTTTAGACAGATTTTTGCCATGAATAAATGTTGTATATTTATGTAAAGTCTTTTCTCTTATGGCTTCTGGATTTTATGTCACAACTAATTGTATTTCAAATATGGAAACTATGTTGAGTTAAAAAAAATAGTATTTGTATGTATAAATCTGCTGAAAATTAAACTAGATGTACAGTTAATCCTTGAACAACACAGGGGCTAAGGGTGTGTCCCCCCCCTAATGCAGTCGAAAATCCATGTATAACTTTTTCCTCCCCCCAAACTTAACAACTAATAGCATACCATTAGGTGGGCTACTTAACTGTCTGATTAGGTCTCACTCATTCATGGCGTACATAACCCAAAATTTTCTAATATATTAATTGAAAAAAATCCACATGTAAGTGGACTCATACAGTTCAAACCCATGTTGTTCAAGGGTCAACTGTATATAAAACCCATATAGAAATATGAAACAAAGGAAACTTATACAGTTGCCCCTTGAACAACATGGATTTGAACTATGTGGGCCCACTTTTATGTGGGTTCCACATCCATGAATGTAACCAACAGTGGATTGAAAGTACAGTATTTTCAGGATGCAGAACCCTCATATATGGGAGCACTATTCATACATGTGGGTTCTGCAGGGCCAAGTGTGGGACTTGAGCATACTAAGATTTTGGTATATGGGGGTAGAGGGGTGGGGGTGTTCTGGAACCAGTCCCCCACGTGTATGGAAGGACAATTAAAGTTTTGTGTAAATGTAAAATAAGAAAAATTTTCCGTGCAGTAATTTATTTACCTTTTCGTGTTTTATAGATGCCTTCCAGGATGTCAAATTTGTCAGCAACTTGTCAGGTAAGTTTAATATAACTACATTGCACAAATTTTGAAAAATAAATAAAATTAATCTCTTAGAAATATTAGTTAGAATACAGTGGGATAAAACTCACATGCTGTTATAATTGACGGGTACTTTACCCAGTCTTGGAGTGTGAAGAAACAGGTAAGACTGCTTGAAACTCAGGTGAAAATGCCTAAGCAGAGTTCTAATGTTGAGTGTGAGTTAAGTGGGTAAATATTGAAGGAAAGGGGTTTTAGGCAGAGAGAACAGGATGTGGGAAAGCCTGACAGTGAAAGACATCATGCTTCTGTCAGGAAAGTGCAGAATGTGTAGGATGTAAGATGAGGATTGGAGAGATCTGAGCCCAGAGAAATAGTGGCCAGATAATTTAAGCTGTTTGTGTACTATGCACATACTTTTGTTTTTATGTTAAAAGGATATTATTTAGGTGAGAAACATGCTAGGAAAAAAANCCCAGTCTTGGAGTGTGAAGAAACAGGTAAGACTGCTTGAAACTCAGGTGAAAATGCCTAAGCAGAGTTCTAATGTTGAGTGTGAGTTAAGTGGGTAAATATTGAAGGAAAGGGGTTTTAGGCAGAGAGAACAGGATGTGGGAAAGCCTGACAGTGAAAGACATCATGCTTCTGTCAGGAAAGTGCAGAATGTGTAGGATGTAAGATGAGGATTGGAGAGATCTGAGCCCAGAGAAATAGTGGCCAGATAATTTAAGCTGTTTGTGTACTATGCACATACTTTTGTTTTTATGTTAAAAGGATATTATTTAGGTGAGAAACATGCTAGGAAAAAAAGATAAGTTTGGAAAATTTTGGAGTAATTCTGGCAAAAAATGAGAATCTGAACTAAGAAAGTAGCTATGATGATATAGAGTAGTAAACATATTTGAAAGACATTAATGAGATAAACTCGTTAGGATCTGTGCGTGCAAGGGAAAGGGAAGATTTGAGCATGGTACCCTAGATTTCCTAGTCAACTGAGTAAATGGTAGTGTTTTATTAAGGTCTGATGAAGAAATATAAGAGGGAGAGAAGGTCTGTGATTGGTAGGCTAGGAACAAAAGTAAATAGAATGAGTTTATTTTATATGTATTGAGTTTTTCCCCCTAGGAACTAAGTAAGGGGGAAAAAAAAAACCTGGCAGTCTTTTCATATTTGCCCCTGTATTTACCACCTGTGGTCCTATTCATTCCTTCTTATAGATGGGGGTTCCATCTGGTATCTCTCCTTTCAGTCTGGTATCTCTCTTTTAGCACTTCCTATAGTGTAGGTATACTGGAAATGAATTTTCTGTTTGGTTTATCTGAAAATATGTTTATATTACTTTCATATTTGAAGGATATATTCACTGGACATAGAATTCTGGGTTGGATTTTCTCATTCCAGCACTTTAAAGATGTCATTATTTTATCTTCTGGTTCTTGTTTCTAGTGAGAAGTCAGCTGTTATTAGTGTAGTTGTTTCTCTGTGTATAATGGGTCTTTTTTTCTTCTGTCTACTTTAAAGATTTTTTTCATACCTTTAGTTTTCAGCAGCATGTCTACAGTGTGCCTAAGAGTAATTTTCTTTGTACTTATTCTGCTTGTGTAAATATCTGCAAGTTCAAATTTTTCACATAATTGGGAAGTTTCAGCCATTGTTATTTGTCTGCCCCATTCTAGAGAGAAAGAATGGGGCAGAAAAATAATTTAAGAACAATGGCTGAAACTTCCAGTTACACATATGTTCAGATTGCTTGATGTATTCCACAGGTCGCTGAGGCTCTGTTATTTTTTTTAATTTAACTTTTTTCTCTGTTTATTAAATTGGATTATTTCTATCAGTCTGTCTTCAGATTCACTAATCATTATTTCTCCAAACTCCAGTATGCTGTTTTGCCCAGCCAGTGAACTTTTCATCTCATACATTACATTTTTCACTTCTAGAATTTCTGTTTGATTCTTTGTTATGGTTTCTATTTCACTGCTGAGATGCCCTATCTGTACTCTCATTATGACCAATCTATTCCTATAAGTCCATGAATATATTTATAGCACCTGCATTAAAGTCTTTGTTTACTAATTTCAACATCTGCATTATTTAGGGTCTGTTTCTATTTAAACTGCTTTTTCTTTGATGGATCATATTTTCTTGCTTTTTCATATGCCTAATAATTTTTTATTTTATGTTGGACACTGTAGTTGATCTACTCTAGGGGTTCTGGATTATGTCATCTTCCTTTAAAGGAAGTTTTGTTCTGATAGTTGATTAAATTATTGGCAGATTCTTTTGTCAGTATTGATTTTCCTCTTTGTTAGGGTAGCTCTACTTTTATTTTGAACTTAGTCCTAGGATGTGGACTTTACCCTTAAGATATAGCCATTTGGGGGTCTCAGCTGAATGCTCAGGGTGCTCAGTGATGTGTTCTCACTCTTAACTAAAACTGCAATGCCTCCCAGACCCTTGTGACCCAGTTCTCAGACCCTTAGCAGGTGATTTCTGCTAGGCATCACAGAATTTTGCTGGACACAGACCTTAGACCATGGGCAAGGATCCCTGGTGAATCCCCATGCAAGTTTCTTTGTCTCTGTCTCTGGTACCCTGTTACAAATTCCAAATGTTCCAGCAGCCTAGAATTCTGTTCTCTGCTTCCTCACTCAGCTCAGTGACACTGCCATGTTCTGCCTGAGCATCACCTCTGTGCGCAGTGGTTGAGAAATTTCCCCCAGGCTGGTGAAATCATGAAGTCTTACCTCATGTATATCTCTCATTTCAGTGATCACAGCCCCGTGCTTCCTCTTGCACCATGCTTGAAAACAGTTATCTCATATATTTTGTCCACTTTTGTGCCAGGGGTCCCCAACACCACTCCTAGGTTCAATAATTAGCTAGAATGGATCACGGGACTCAGCATGTAGTGGTACTCCTTGATAAGAATTAATGAATATTATGTTATCTATGTTGAGAATAGATGTTGAATTTTGTCCAGTGCCTTTTCTGTAATTCGGTTTTTTATTGACTCTAATTTTTTGAAAGGTCTTTTTATAATCTCGCCTTTCCTTTAGGTGTTTTTGTGGTCGCTTGGTCAAGCAACATGCTTGTTTTACTGCAAGTCTTGCCATGAAATACTCAGATGTGAAATTGGGTGACCATTTTAATCAGACAATAGAAGAATGGTCTGTGGAAAAGCATACAGAACAGAGCCCAACGGATGCTTATGGAGTTATAAATTTTCAAGGGGGTTCTCATTCCTACAGAGCTAAGGTGTGTCACATATTTTGATTTTATTCTTTTTACTTCATTTATCTTGTTATCTAAATAATGAAAAATTTTTTTCTGACAATTTCTATAGCACCATGACAGAAAGTTAGACTCAATTATTGCTTTGTGTATTTTAAAGTTCTTTGTGAATCCATCTGAACACCATGAAAGGTTGATTAGAAATTTCTGATTATTTCTCAGACTGATCAAATTCACAGTTATTTCGAGTGAAGGAGACAATCATCCATTCAAAAAATATCTTTTTAATTTTACTGCACAGTCACAGTTTTGTTATAAATGGACTTAGATCTTGGACAAAACTTTTAAACAGATAATTCAGTATTTGCTTCTCTTATTAACAAGAGTCTTTGAAAGCTTTCATTTCTTGTTCCACAATTCTTCTCCCCCTTTTTTTTTTTTTTCCCGTCATCTTAGCCAGTCTTAGGCTTCACTCACTATGTTAAACCCAGTGCATAGTTAAACAAGGCAATAAATATTGTGGGTAAATTTGTAAATTGGATTAATGGTAATTGAGTATAAACAGAAAGAGAGTAACATTTGTGTCTTAAAGTTTAAAAGTTAGAGTGCTGGTACTTCTAATCTCACAGAATGATTTTTCCAACTTTATCATTTGCTATTGCTTATTCCTGGGAGTGTATATATATTGAAAGTAGCCTATGAAATCTGTTTTTACATAATCCAATTCAAATATAATATTTCTAAAGTCATATAATGTTGTATTTTGGGTTTTTTTTTTTCTCAAAAGATGATCAGTAAGGGGATCTTAAAACCTTTGACTTGGTGTTGTCAGCACCACGCTCACCCAGTGAGCTAACCAGCCATCCCTATGTAGGGATCCGAACCCAGGGCCTTGGTGTTATCAGCACCACACTCTCCTGAGTGAGCCATGGGCTGGCCCTAATGTTGCATTTTGAAACCTTTGAACACAGTCAATTATTTTGTCCTTTTAAAATCTTTTTTAGTATGTGAGGCTATCATATGACACCAAACCTGAAGTCATTTTGCAACTTCTGCTTAAAGAATGGCAAGTGGAATTACCCAAACTTGTTATCTCTGTACATGGGGGCATGCAGAAATTTGAGCTTCACCCACGAATCAAGCAGTTGCTTGGAAAAGGTCTTATTAAAGCTGCAGTTACAACTGGAGCCTGGATTTTAACTGGAGGAGTAAACACAGGTAATGTAATGATTATACCAAATTTATCTAGTGTACTTGTAAATTTTTCATATCAATTAGATATTTGAAATAGCAGTCAACACTAATATTCAGCTTTTCTGTTAAATAATCTATGGTTCATAGGTAAAAATGATAACTGTAACCTGTTTAGTTGTCATTTAGTCTTTAAAAAAAAAAACACACTTTAGAGCAGGGGTTTACAAACTAGAGCCTATGTGACAAATTCAGCCCACCCCTTGTTTTTATGAATAAAGTTGTATTGAACACAGCCACACTCATTTGTTTATGTATTGCCCATGGCTATTTTTGTGCTACAACAGCCGAGGTGAATAATTGTGACAGACACTGTATGCCATGCAGAGCTTAAAATGTTTACTGCTTGGCCCTTTACAAAAAAGGTTGTTGACCCTACTGTAGAGCCAAGCATTATTCCTATCATTTTTGGGCAGCTGTTAAATTGGTAGAAGAATGATAATCCATTGCCTCAGCAGTGGTAAGAAGTAGCTTACAAAAATTAATTTTTTGCTTTTCATTCCAAGTTTCTCCTATCATATATATAGGTTGAATATAAGGAGGGAAAATTAATTTTAATGTTTAAAACATAATTGTTAACTCAGCTTGCAAACATCTAATTGATTATTAACAACTATTTTTTGAGTGTCCTTGTGTCAGACATTTTTTGGGTTGCTAAGAATATATCATTTCCACAAAAGAGATAAAATATTTACCTTCATGGAGCTTATGGTCTAGTGGGGGAGATGCAGACAATAAACAGATAACTCAGTAATGTATACTATATTAGATGATAAGTGCTATGCAGACACAAATAAAGAGGAGGGACAGTGAGGTACTGGAGGGACTACTATTTTGTACATGTGTCGGGCCTCCCTGAGCCAGAGGCCGACAAAACCGAGCGGGAAGAGACCCCGGTCCAGCCGGGGGTCCCTTGTGGGGCTGAGCGGGATGATGAGTGTCGCTGGCACGGCCCTTCCCCCCCAGGACCTTCCTCCCCGGGGGCCGGGAAAGAACACCAACGAGCTAGGAGAGGGGTAAAAGCCGGT